TGATTCTTCTTTTCATCTCTTAGAGGTTTGTTGATTCATGAAACAAAATTCAGTTTCAAATTCTGATTTATTGTATTCTGATAATGATTATATTTTTGTTTTCTTATAAGAAAATCATGTTTCATTTGTCTGGAGTTTTAGGAGAATGGAAGATGAATAATAAATCATGGAAATTCATGGTGAATACAAGAGCAGGAGGTAAAGTATTTACCATTAAGGAAAGTTTGAAGCTTGACGAGATGGTTCATGAAGATTTCAGCATCAATAGGTTGGGTAATGAGTTAGAACTTAGCTATGCACTACCAGAATCAATGCTTCGAGATATGCCTAAGGATACACCTCATGTGTTTTGTGAACAATTATAGTCAATGGAATTATATTTGTGAAATGTGTCTTTGCATCTCGGTGAAGAATGGAATCCTACGGAACCATGATAAAGATACTGCAATGGTCAATCGCGAAGATACTGCAATGATCAAGAATAAGAATGTCAATGGACAGGATGGTAATCAAGAACCAGAAGTGGATGTTTCAAATTTTCATGATGCAAAGGTCATTGAAAAGGGTCAATGGTTCAAGAATAAAGCATAGCTGTCTTGGAGTATACGGATGCTTTCAGTTGAACGCAAATTCAGAATTATTGTCAACAAGTCAGACAAGAAGTTGTTAGTTGTCAAATGTGGAGACACAAGCTGCAAGTGGATGGTTATAGCTACTAAGACTAATCCGACAAGTGAGTTTTTCTAGGCAACAAAGTACATCGACAAGCATACATGTTTTCCAGAAACATTGATTTGACCGAGAGCTTCTTCCAAAGTTATAAGTAATCTTCTTCTGGAAAACTTTGGGAATTCAAGTCTAAATATTAAACCGGAGTTGATTTCGAGTACTATGAAAAAGAGATATGGTCTTGATTCAAAATATTGGAAGATATGGAAAGCTAGGGAAGATGCTCGGACAGAGATATTAGGTTCTCCCGAAAGTAGCTATACATGCATAAGCTTGTTAAGGCTAACCCGGGTACTGGGTTGCAAGTTCAAACAACCTGCTGCATATTCTCTACACATCTGGTAACAAGGGATCATTTGATACTCTCTTGTCCTTATGCTATGGTATTATGGTCAGAAGCTCGACGCAATTTCCGAGACACTCCTCCGATCTTCAATAATTGATCAGAGCTTATGCACTGGACGTTATCCTCCTCTGAAAATACACCCTCATACCTTCCTGGTGATCCAAGCGCTAAACAATATGCTGCACAACCAGAAGTTGGTTCCCCCTCAGGTGGTGTTCAAAGAAGGCGGTAGGCATGTCATCAATACAATCTATGCTTCCAGGAATCGCAAGAAATTTGGCTGTCTCATGAGATGGTGGCTCAGATAAGATCTAGAGTCATGCTGATGTTCTCTGTGTCATCCCTTGAACTTGTTTGAGGTGTGGTCTTTTTTGTTTAAAACTCTATCATGCTCTGTTTTTTTACATTCTTTTTTTTTTGCCAGGGCATATTTTTTAAAGGTTTACTACCTTGTAGAAAAACCTTATATTTCTTTATGGAAAATTAATATTTTTAGCACAAAAAAAAAAAAATTAACATATTTCAACTCAAATCTCTCAGTCATGAATTATAAAAAAGTAAAAAATAAGCACCTACTCTCATGAGTTCAATAAAAAAACACATATGCTATTAAATAGAAAAGCAAACTGAAAACGTAAGTAAAAGCATTTTAAAACGTGAAAGACAGTGAAAAACACAAAAACACGTCCTAAAATTTTAAAACCAAACAAAGGTAATGCTTCTAAAAATCTAAAAATGATTTCCTTCAGCGAACATATCAACTGGAAGCTTTTTCCGGATAAATTCTATGTTAGTATCACACAGTTCAGCCTCTATATCTACGTCTAGTGCAAAACATTTGATATATTTGATAGCATAGACACCACAATCACCAGATTGTATGTTCTGTGAAATCTTCTTACACCTTATAATTTTGTTATTAGCATCACGTAAAGCCATTTGGTCAGATGGGGAAGCCAATGATCTGATAAGATGTGGAATCATCATTGCATATGGCTTCACAAACCCTGTTATCTCACCATCTCCAGAGAGCATCAAGCTACTGTAGTGCACTTCAATGGTACGTTGAAGAATTGATATAGCCAAAGCGATCCAGTGCACATTCTTATTGTTCAACACCACATACGCATTATCGACATCAACACCAAATCTCTTATGTGTTCTTTCACATTTAGGTAAAATACCATTGTAGTAGTTGATAAACTCAGAGCTCCACTCAAAATTCTTTGGATCTTCCATAAAATTTTGATAGCTCTTTGAGATCAGCAATGTAAATGGTATATCCAGAAACGCCAATTTCTTACTGTGAAAAAGACATGATTTTTCTCCTAACCTTCTTCTCAAAAGAGACATACCAACGTAAATTTGCTGCATCAAACAAATATAATTTAGTATATGTATACTGAATATTTTTGGTTATAAAATCATTTATAATATACTTACTTCTTCACTTAACAAAACCCTTGGTGCAATAAGCTCAGCGAAATTTTTTTGTCTACCTTTATGATGCCCAAATTAGTTGTTGTATCTCTGCAATTCACAATGTAAATGATAAGATAGATATTATGAACAAATCACTAAATACTTGTTTGAAAATACTAACCTCTCTATCTTCCTCCATGAATCAAACCATGCATTTTTACCATGATCCACTAGAGCAAACGGATCATAAGGTTTCATAACTTGCTTACGTCTTCCCATGCTTTCACTAGTATCCAGTAACATATCATACTTCTTTATTTTATTATCTACTATTTTCATTTCATTTGTCTTTAATGGTGTTACGCTTAATATTCTGACCGAGGAATCTATAGACTCTGTTGTATTCAAATTGATCTTCGGCTCTTATTTCATTGTATGCAAAAACATCACAATCAGCATAAACATCACAATCAACATAACTTCACAATGATAATCTTTTAAAGATAATAACTTTACTTACCTTTTTAAAATCAAGTTTTTGTTAAGATGATTTAGCTTAGCCTTTAGGCTAGAAATTTTAGATCTAAGCTGTGTGAATCCATTATTCATAATCTCTTCCAACTCTTTCATATACACATGAAAGTAGTATTTGGATAAAACTTCAATGCAAGGAACACCATTGTTTTATGTGACTTTAAACTGTTGGTATATGTTTGTTCTTCATTTGCCTTTCTTTTTCCATTATTTCCTTTTTGAATCTTATATTCCATCTCTATATAAACAACATAAATAAAAAAAGTTGTAAGATATATGAATCAAATCATTGGCCATATAAAAAAATTTATATGGCAGTCGATATAGTAAACATATTCATGACATTAAACTATATATAAGTATTCACGTAAAGTAGATCAATACACGTAAAGTAAATCAATACACATAACATGCATGTAACACAAACAAAATATACACATACATGAACATATAATATTAGAACGTACTTGGTTCAGGGTAGATAACGACTTTAAGGAAGATGAAAATTTTGTACAGACAAAATAACAAACGTGACTTGTTTTTCTTTTAACAACGTGACTTTTTTATTGTTTATATAAGCTAGAAGAAGAGTAATAAAAGAAGATTTGTATAAATTTCACTATATAGTCGTCAAAACAAATTATAATTCACATATTTATCTTTGTTATTGTAAATTTAAATATTAAAATAATATGTATATCTCAACACATATATTATGGGATAAACATAAAAAACTTTAATGATATTAGTTTATTAATTGAGATAATTATTTAATTTTCAAATTTTTATATTAGTTTCGAATTTATATATTAATTTTGAATTTATATTAATTATTGAAATATTTAATTAGGATAAAAAGGTCAATTCACAACTTAAGAAGTGTAGTTTACAAAAACTGAAATAGAAAATGCAATTATCAAAAATCAAACTGTTTTTTGGAGTAATTTACAAATTATCCCATTTTTTTTCTTTTTTTTTTGGTCACTGAAAACTAAAATAAGGCTAAAAAGAATCAAAGTGGCCTTTATTAGCTCAGCATTTCCACTTTACTTCAACCCTCTTTTGACTCTTTTTTTTTTGTTTTTCTCTTTCTCTTTCTCTTTCTCTTTCTCTTTCTCTCACCACCGCTTTATCGAAAAAAGGCGTCACCTTTGCGTTTTCTATTTTCATCGGAAATGGCGGATTGGGCTCCAGTTATCGTCGGAGTTATACTGTTCGTATTGCTCTCTCCAGGACTCCTCTTCTCGTTACCTGGACATCACCGCACTTTAGATTTCGGCGGCATGAAAACCAACGGAAAAGCAATCGCCGTCCACACACTCATCTTCTTCGCTGCTTACACGATCTTGATCCTCGCTGTCAATCTCCACATCACCACCGGCTGATCTAGAGTAACCCCTTTTTTCTGAATCTGTGGGGGGGGGGGTTTCAGAAATCTTCATAGATTTGGATCTCTGTTTTTAAATTAGAATTTTTACTTTTACTTAAATCTGTTTTTGATAGTCTGATACTTGTTTCGGAACAAACAGAACCCTTGCTGTGTTGTTGTTCATTATGTTTTAGTGAAGAAAATGTATTAAAGAATCAGAGACTAATGAAAATAATTGTGGAAACAATAAAAATGGAGATGATTTATGTTGGATTATTACATGATGAATTATTCCAGTTGATGTGTGATTGGAAGTATTAATGGTTAGACATTATGTTCTACTGAAAATGTATTAAAGAATCAGAGATTCATGAAAATAATTGTGGAAACAATCAAAAATGAAGATGCTTTATGTTAGGGATTATTACATGCCATTTGATGTGTGATCGGAAGTACTTGAACGTTTGACATTCAGTTTGGGAAATACAAAATTACAGTTTCTTATTTGTATACAACAAACAGTATGAGCCAATAATCAGAGATTAGCAAAAGATAAACGGCAAACTTTGAATCCAGAGTTGCTACACCAGAAGATCAGAAATGGATGTGGATTTGTATGGCTATGACCAAGATAGTGAGTATACAGAAGTAAATAATGGCGTGGACCAAAATCGAAATGCCACTTGTGCTCATGTTACCAAACTCCATCACTCTTGTCCTCGCCGGTAGCTGAAAGAGCAATCCTGGTGACAGTAGGATGAACAGAGCCACTGCTACGATTACAGGTCCCCAGTCTGCACTCATATCTCCAGTAATCTTCTCTTTACTATGATATGTGTTTTTGTTGTGTAATTGGTTCTTGTTCTTGCAGATGAAGTAAGATGTGGGATTAAAGTTTGAGAATAATGGAGAAGTTTGTTATGGTTTTATTATGTAGAGTTATGGGTTTCTTGGTAGCTAAGGAGAGGAGTTGGTTTTTAGATGCTAAGCTTTGTGAATGCTACAAAGGAAAGGTATTGTATTCTTTAAATGGGTTTTCCTTCTTTTGTCTTTGTAGTTGTCTATAAACTTTTTTTATTCTTAAATTTTCAATCAATTGCTTCTTTTATGGTTTCTCTTTTCTATTTTCTACAACTACTTTACAGATGGTTCTTGGTATGTGTTTTCTGCTTTTGTTAAAGAATTGCTGAAAATAAATAAATGAATGTGTAAAGATGATTTCACCATTTTTTCTTTTCTTTTTCAGGGGTTACTTTGGTTGTTTTCTTCATGGTTTGGGTTTAGCTTTTTATTGATCACTATTGCGAAACTGTTGAACCAGCAAAAACCGGGACTAACCAGGGCTGAATCTGGTAGTTTGGTAAGAAAGAATGGCTATTGGTATTGGCTCTAGTGATATACACTGTGAAACTCATTACTTTCATGTTAGAACATTCTATAGAAGGATACATAATATTGTAGATATTAATAACAAATATTGTGTATTCATTATGTAAGATATTTACATATATTTCTAGTATCTAGATTAGGTAATATCTGTAGTATATAAATATGTATGTAGCTTAATCATAATTCTTACGAAAGTCAATATACAATTCTTCCAATTTCCTATACTCATCTTTCTCAACATGGTATTAGAGTTACAATGATCTAACGATCTGCTCTGTTCCTGGTTTTCGATTTTCTTTAAGCCATAGAACTTCTTTATTTTTCGATTTTAAACCATTAAGCTTCTTTTTATTATATTTTCTGTTAAACTAAATGCTTCCATCATTCATGTTCAAGTGAACCTCTGAATCTATCATTGAGCTTTTTATTATTCAAGTCTTTTACAGATCTCTGAATCCAAGCTTAGTGCTTCCAATATTCATGTCAAAATACCTCTTAATCTAAGCTATAAACTCTTACAATTTTTTTTTTCATGTAAAAGTTGTTTTCATATTTAAGGATTTCTGAAATTTTAGTGATTGCCAGTTAATTTTTTTAGTTTTTATTATTAAAAAAACATGAAAAGCAAAAAAAAATATTAAATAATAAAATAAAAAACAAAGAATAAAAAGAATAAAAGTTTTGTTACAAGCCAACGCGCTTCTGTGAACAAGCCGAAGTGCTTTCTACCATCATTCAAGCTCATCAAACGAGCCTCTGAATCCGTTAATAAGCCTTCGAGCATCTATTTTGAGATTCCAAGCCAAGTTGCTTTTCTCTCCAACCATGTCACAATGTCAACAAAACGATACTTCCGATGACATAAAAAAAAACAAATCTTATGTTTTCTGGTCTCTCAATCAAAAATGACTTCAACATTCCTTTGTCTCCGTTGTCATAGTTACTGGATCCGCTGCGCTCACAAACACAGATCATTGGACCTCTGCCTTTCTTCATCTCCATAATGAAATCTCTTCACCACCAACACGAGAAAAAAAAAGCGTCAAACTCCTAGCCACCATTGCGATCTCTGTTACGTCTTGATCTATTATCGGTCAATCTCAAGCCTTACTTCAGAGGTCACTTCGTCACCGCCTTGAGTTTGAGGGGACATATATAAGGATTCAGAATATTGTAGATATTAATAACAAATATTATGTATTCATTACGTAAGATATTTACATATATTTCTAGTATCTAGATTAGGTAATATTTGTAGTATAAATATGTATGTAGCTTAATCATAATTTTTATGAGAGTCAATATACAATTCTTCCAATTTCCTACTCTCATCATTCTCAACAATTCTAGTTTCACTCTGAAACTAGAAAAATGAAATGTGACTCAAAAGATGATCAATACTTTGCTTCCTTCAGTTTCTGTTCTTTCTTGATCTATGGTTTATTCTTTCTCTTATTCTTAACGTTTCATGCTTGCACTTGTTAGTGATAAATATCAATACCATGGCTAAAAGTGGGTCAAAACCATGGTAGATCAACTCCCCCAGACTTAACATTTTGCTTGTCCTCAAGCAATCACAATAGTTAATCTTTGGAAGAAGTTTTAAAAAGAAAACAACAGGGACTCAATCAATTCTTAACTTAAGATCATCACCTCTACTTTGTTGCAAGACACATCTCATATTACTAACTACAGAAGTACATTATACCATATCCTAGCTTAGTGATATCACTCAAATTACCCTAAGAAGTGAATTACTCTCTCAAATAAGAGGTTCAGTTGTAGTACCTAGGGATCGAATCCACAAGGAACTAAGGAACACAAAAGATAAAATCCTAAGTGATTATGCTAGGTTGATCAAGGTTTTAAAAGTAAATTGCAGTTGTGAGCAATGTGAGTTGCTCAAAAGAATTGGTTTTAGGTTTTAAACAATAAAAGAAAGTAGTTAGATTCAAGGTTGCTATTCAGATAATCAGGATTATAATGCTACAGATGTCTTTATAAGTTGCTTGCAAGATATTAAAGAACTTCAACTCTTAGATAAGCATGTTAGCAGTCGCTATTAGACTCGTCCATTGATCCGACTACCAGCAATATCGATCGATGGTTTGATAGCGATATATCGATATAGCTTCAGATCGAATTGAATATGTGTTCACCAAGATCATAGACCGGCTCTCGTTTGTCCCTAGAGGATCTCAGCTTATACCAGATGATTTCAGGATGATGATTTAACAAGTTAAATCATTCTATGATCATACTCTAGTTAGCTATTCTAGAGTAAGCATTAGGGCTCATCAGGATAATGAATATCACAACCAAACAATCCATAGTTGGGGCTAATCCCTCATAACTATTTGAACCCTAAATCTAACAAGTGAATCTACTAAGACATGGCTAAGTGATTCATAGCATTAAGGTAATAATAGAAATTTATAAGATTAGAAGATTGAACTCTTGGTTCTTTTGAACAACAAATCTCTTTGTGTGTTCTTCTAAATTTAGAATTCTATAACCTTGTATGAATATGAGAATAAGATGAAAAGAATAATTTTATAAATTAAAGAACTAAGAACATAAAAAGCATGCCAAGCTCAAGAAGTACAAAAATCATGCAAAGGTATAAAAAGCATGTAAAAGAACACATAGCCAAAACACATAGGCATAACTATAAATATGAGTTCCATTGAGAGAACTTGGGCTTCAATTCAGCCAATTCAAACTTGTTCTTCATGCTTCATATCGATCGATGGTACATGGCGTACATCGATCGATGGAGTATCTCAATTCGTCATCTTCTACGGAAGTGTCGTCGATCGATCACACAGGATGTGTATCGATCGATATGTATCTCTGGATATCGACCTTGTTGTCTGATCTTTATAGTTATCTCGAAAAAACTCTCCTTTAAGCTTCATAAGGGCACCTAAATCATCACTTCACTCCAAAATGCTTCTGAACCTGATAACATACCTAATAGACTCTAAAACATATATATATATATATATATATATATATATATATATATATATATATATATAAAATCATATAAATACCATCGTTAAAAGTGGGTAAAAACCATGGTATATCAACCCCCCCTGACTTAACCTTTTGCTTGTCCTCAAGCAAACACAATAGTTAGTCTTTTGGAAGAAGTTTAAAAACAGCAGGGACTCAATCAAATCTTAATATAAATCATCACCTCTACTTTGTTGCAAGCCACATTTCATATGACTAACTACAGAAGTACATTATACCATATCCTAGCTTAGCAACCAAATTCATCTAGCCAGCCAACTTAGTAATTATGTCTGTCTATCCCCTCTACTGATTTCATTTATGCATAAAATAAAAAGTAAAGGCTTTACCTTGGGAGTATCGATCAAGGAACACTTGGATTCAACTCAAGCAAGTTTCAGGCATTCTCATTCTGGTTTCTTTTCTCCCTATATCTCCCTTCTCTGAATCCCAAATTTCCTTTTTCTTTATATCAATCCCAATGAACATCAGATGTTCATCTTATTGATCTTTCTAGTTTTTGTAGTCTTTTCTGACAAAGTGTTGGCGAATAGTGGGGTCATGGGTAATTTACTTCTCTCTCGCTTTCACAATGTGTGATCATTCCTTTGAATTAGAATAGTGGGGTCCTGAGTAATGTACCTTTCCCTTTGCCTCTTAGGAAATCATCTCAATCTTTTATTTTTTCTCTTTTAGGGATGCCAAAGGGATGAGAGATGTAACCAAAATTACCAAGACTTTTACCTTCCAGACTTGCAGGAGGATCCCAAGCCCTTGTATACCAAGCTCCAAGACAAGCAATAGATGTCAGGTTAGGTTGGAAATCAGCTTTGGTTCTTCCAAACAATTATGAAAAGTGTTGTCATAGGTGACCGGTGATCCACTTTAGCATCTATAGTACTTTCTGCAATCAACAATTCTAAGAATGGTGCTAAAGAGTGGTTAGATAAAAAGTGAAAATTTTGAAATCTTTTGTCTCATTCTTGACTCAATAAAACCAATTTTGAAAACATTTAATGAGATCAAAAAGTTAAAGTAGCATCAGTAATCTCCACTCCCCCAGACTTAAATCATACACTGTCCTCAGTGTATAACCAGTCGGAGTTATGGCATAAATAAATAATGTAAAACTGATATCAAAAATTTAGAACGATATACCTGACCGGAGTTTGTATCGATCGATGGTGAGTCATGTTCATCGATCGTCATGAACGTCACTCTGTACTGGGAACCACATCTTGTCCAGTAATCTGTATGCTTCGTCTCCACAGGCTTCAATAGCTTTGTAAATATCTCTTGTGATGTCCTCAATCTCTCCTTTGGTAAAGAACTCTGGTGATTGAATATCGGTCGATTGACACGGTGGGTCATCGATCTATAGTTCCCGTAGGTGACTCTTGATAGGCTTGTCTATACTGGTATCGATCGATGCTTCAGAGGATGTATCGTTCGATTTCTGCTTCTCAAATTCTAGTTCTTCGCAAAGTGCATTCACTTCTTCTTGCGGGCGTTCCTCTCTTTGCGAGCTAAGTCATTGCCAGTCTGAATCCAGTGTAGTTCTCCTTGAAGTGATGCTATGGCTCTTTCATGTTCAGACCTCAGTGATGCCATCTCCCAGTTGTGTTCACCAACTCTTCCATTGATCATGTAGGTGACCTCTGCTTGTGTGTAGAGCTTGCAAAATGTCCTTTGGCAAACTGTTCAGCGTGCTATGGTAATCAGAAACAAGAGCGCTCCATCAATGAGGCTCTATTCAGAAATCTCCTCATATCTTCTATGGAAACATGTATGATGTCCCCATCTACGCCTCTTGCAAAACCATTCTCATCTTTGTAAAAACCATATTCGTCTTTCTTTACCCATAAGAACTGACGAATCCCGGATTCGAAAGCTCGTTTCCCAAATTCTCTATGTATATCGGTCGATGTGATTCTCCACGTATCGATCGATGTGTGTTGGAATTATGGATATGCTGAGTTGGTCATC